CCAGGGACTTCTGGAGCTTAGTGCATCAGCCTCTGCTGCATGCGCTAAAAGCCAACTGGCTGTTAGCTAAGGCTGTAGAGCAGATTCATTTTATCTCTCTAAGTGGGCTCGGTGCCACTAGATGGTTCAGAACACCACACCCAAGAGGTGTGTGGGTTACACCTGCACAAACCAGCCACCGCTGCCCCACACAGATCTGCAGCAGGCAATTTGTAGGTCCCTGAGTTTCTGAGACACCAGCTTTTCCTGAAAGTCTCTTGACTGAAACAAGAGACGTTCTATAAATGGAAGATTCACCCAGGTTCAAACTGAAGCAGGCTGGAGCTCTAAGCACATCATGACATGGGGAGGGGGGATCATGGCTCCATCCCTACAGTCCCCCCACCCTCCACCCAGAGTGATAGTGCCAGGAGGGCCCCCTCTGCTCCCAGAGTGGCTGTGGCAGAGATTCACAGATGTGAGGGCCAGAAAGATCATTGTGATCATCTAGTCTGACCTCCCGCATAACACAGGTCATAGGACTGCGACGGAGTAATTCCCACTCCAAGTCCAGTAGCTGGGTTTGAACTAGAGCCCACCCTTCCGAAGAACATCCAGTAATAATACCTAGCTTTTATTCAGCACTTGATTCAAACATTTACAGTGAGCGAGAATCCACCACAACCCGTGGTAAATTGTTCCAGTGGTTAATGACCCCCAATGTTAAAAACTTGCACCTTATTTCTAGTCTGAATTTGTCTAGCTTAACTTCCAGCCACTGGATCATATTACAGCTTTGTCTGCTAGACTGAAGAGCCCATTATCAAATATTTATTCCCCATGTAGGTACTTAGAGGCTCTAAGGTAAACCTTAACCTTCTCCTTGTTAAGCTAAATAGATTGAACTCCTTGAGTCTATCACAAAAGGCATGTTGCAAATTTCCAAATGCATATTGCAATATCCAAACTTCCCATACTAATGCGGTCAGTCCATCTTGCAGTTAAAGCACTTATTCTGATACACAGGCTGTTGTGCTAAACCCCAAGAAACTAACTCTCCACTCTCACTAAAATTAATTTTCCACTTTTAATGAAGTTTACACAACTAAACATCATTATTACGAACTATTCATAAAGCTTGCAAAGCGGTTGGTTCACTTGATAATAAGCCTTTACTTAGCAATAGGCCCTTTGGCTTAATAGCCAAGAGAGCCTACTTCTTCCCACCAGGCATGACTGCCCGATGCCCCTCTCCTCAGGAGCACCATGAGTATAAACAGGAGTCCCCTCTGCTCTCTGTGTTTCTGTTTGGATGGGTCAAACCGGCTGCACTCTTCCCCTCCTGCTATGCACAGAGCCCTCTGCTGGGCTGGAGTTCGGAGAGCCCTCTAGAGCAGTGGGGTTAACACCCCCACTGAAATGCATGGGGCAGTGCCCACCCTCACAGCAATTGGTTCAGGCTCTGTGCAGATTCAGGCAGATGTTACTGAACCTGTTTCCAAGCTAATCTTCACAACTGTGAGGAACAGAGACTTTACTTTTTGTAAATGCAGGCTGGGATTCTGATGTAATCACACGGCTCCTGGAGCTGGGGTCCTAGGCCTAGGCCTTAATCCAATGCTCTGTTCACTGACGGGAAGCTCTGCAGGAGCAATGTTCCCCCTGCTGAACATCCTGCTGGAGGAATGTTTCCTACCACACTTCTAAGGATGTGTCTATACTACAAGCGCTGCTACTGCAGCTACATTGCTGACATGCTGTAGTGTGGACACTCGCTTCAGCAACGGAAGGGGTTTTTCTTTTGCTGTAGCAAAGTCATCCCCTCGAGAGGTGGTAGCTAGGCTGTTGACCCAGCTGTGTCTACAATCTTCACAGCTGAGGATGTGAGGGAGATTCCCAAAGCTGAGACCTTTTTAGGTGATAAATCTGAGGAACTGTTCCAGATTGTAGTATCGTTAGAGGAAGTTTTGGAACAAACCGATAAACTAAACAGTGATAAATCACCAGGACCAGATGGCATTCACCCCAAAGTTCTGAAGAAACTCAAATTTGAAATTGCAGAACCACTAACTGTGGTATGTAATCTATCATTTAAATCAGCTTCTGTACCAGATGACTGGAGGATAGTTAATGTGATGTCAGTTTTTAAAAAGGGTTCCAGAGGTGATCTCAGCAATTACAGGCCAGCAAGCCTGACTGGTTGAAACTATAGTAAAGAACAAAATTGTCAGACACATAGATGAACATAATTTGTTGGGGAAGAGTCAACACGGTTTTTGTAAAGGGAAATTATGCTTCACCAATCTACTAGAATTCTTTGAGGGGATCAACAAGCATGTGGACAAGAGTGATCCAGTGGCTATAGTCAGTGATGAGCTGCCAAAATATTAACAACAGGTTCCCTCCTCCTCACCCCACGAGGGGGTCGTGCCCCCCCCGACTCCTGCCCCATCCAATCCCGCATGTTCCTTGAGGTGCCCCCCCGGGACCCCTACCCCATCCACCCCCCTTCCCTGTCCCCTGACTGCCCCCTGCCGCCCCATCCAACCCCTCCTCAAATTCCTGATGGCCCCCCAGATCCCTGCCCCATCCAACCACCCCTTCTCTCTGTCCATGACTGCCCCCCACCACCCCATCCAACCCCTGCTCCTTCCTGACTGCCCTCATTCAATCCCCCTGTTCCCTGCCCTCTGACCGCCCCGACCCCTATCCACCCCCCCACAACCCCCCGAACTCCCCTGCCCTCTTCCAACACCCTCTCCCTGCTCCCTGCCCCCTTACCACACTGCCTGGAGCCGCTCGGCCGGGTCCGGGTCTGGGTCCACTCGGCTGGGGCCGGGTCTGGATCCGATCAGCCAGGGCCGGGGCCGGGGCCGGGTTCGATCGGCCAGGGCCGGGGCCGGGGCCAGGGCCAGGTTCGATCGGCCAGGGCCGGGGCCGGGACCTGCTCCACGGGGCCCGAGCTGAGCCGGGCCGGAGCCGCTCGACCGGGACTGGCGCCGCGGGGCCTGACCCGGACCAGGCCGGAGCTACTCGGCCAGGACCGGCGCCGCGGGGCCCAACTCCCCAAGCCGGGCCAGGCCGGCGCCACTCGCCCGGGACCGGGGCCGGCGCTGTGGGGCCTGAGCCGGGCCGGAGCTCCTCGCCCGGGACCAGGGCCGGCACTGTGGGGCCCAGGCCGGAGCCGCTCGGCTGGGACGGGGCCGGCGCTGCGGGGACCAACTCCCCGAGCCGGGCCAGAGCCGCTTGACCAGGACTGGCGCTGCGGGGCCCGAGCCGGGCCAGGGCCAGGGGGTCAGGCCGGAGGGAGCCGCTTGGCCGGAGCGGGGCTGGGGTGGGCTGGGCTGCACCTTGCCTCCCTGGAGCCGCCCCCCCCCCCCCCAGCTTACGTGCCTGCTGCTTGTTCCCAGGGGAGGGGGAGGGGAAGAGGGGCGGAGCGTTCAGGGGAGGAGGGGAAGTGAGCTGGGGCCGGGGGCCGGGGTCGGGGTGGACAGCTGCCCGAGCTTTTGTTAAATTTAAAAGCCCTTTTAGAACCGGTTGTCTCAGAACAACCGGTTCTAAAAGGGCTTCTAAATTTAACAACCGGTTCCTGCGAACCGGTGGGAACCGGCTCCAGCTCACCACTGACTATAGTCTACTTAGATTTTCAAAAAGCCTTTGACAAGGTCCCTCACAAAAGGCTCTTAAGCAAAGTAAGCTGCCATGGGATAAGAGAGAAGGTTCTCTCATGGGTCAGTAACTGATTAAAAAATAGGAAACAAAGGGTAGGAATAAATGGTCAGTTTTCAGAATGGAGAGAGGTAAATAGTGGTGTCCCCCAGGGGTCTGTACTGGGATCAGTCCTATTCAACATATTCATCAATGATCTGGAAAAGGAGTAAACAGTGAGGTGGCAAAATTTGCAGATGATACAAAACTACTCAAGATAGTTAAGTCCCAGGCAGACTGTGAAGAGTTACAAATGGATCTTACAAAACTGGGTGACTGGGTAACAAAATGGCAGATGAAATTCAGTGTTGATAAATGCAAAGTAATGCACATTGGAAAACATAACTCCAACTATACATATAAAATTATGGGGTCTAAATTAGCTGTTACTACTCAAGAAAGAGATCTTGGAGTCATTGTGGATAGTTCTCTGAAAACATCCACTCAATGTGCAGCGGCAGTCAAAAAAGCAAACAGAATGCTGGGAATCATTAAGAAAGGGAGAGATAAGAAGACATAAAATATCATATTGCCTCTATATAAATCCATGGTACGCCCACATCTTGAATACTGTGTGCTGATCTGGTTGCGCCATCTCAAAAAAGATATATTAGAATTGGAAAAGGTTCAGAAAAGGCAATAAAAATGATTAGGGGTATGGAACAGCTTCCATATGAGGAGAGATTAATAAATTTTCAGATTGGAAAAGAGATGACTAGGGGGGCGGATATGATAGAGATTTATAAAATCATGACTGGTGTGGAGAAAGTAAATAAGGAAGTATTAGTTACTCCTCATAATACAAGAACTAGGGGTCACCCAATGAAATTAATAGGCAGCAGGTTTAAAACAAACAAAAGGACGTATTTCTTCACACAACGCACAGTCAACCTGTGGAACTCCTTGCCGGAGGATGTTGTGAAAGCCAAGACTATAACAGGGTTCAAAAAAGAACTAGATAAATTCATGGAGGATAGGTCCATCAATGGCTATTAGCCAGGATGGGCAGGGATAGTGTCCTAGCCTCTGTTTGCCAGAAGCTGGGAATGAGCGACAGGGGATGGATCACGTGATGATTACCTGTTCTGTTCATTCCCTCAGGGGCACCTGGCATTGGCCACTGTCGGAAGACAGGATACTGAGCTAGATGGACCTTTGGTCTAACCCAATATGGCCGTTCTTATGTACAGTGGAGGTTAGGTTGATCTTACTTACATCACACAGGGAGTGAAATTCTTCACAGCCCTGAGCGCCATGGTTAGGTCATCCTCGGTGTAGACCAGGACTAACTCTGCCTCTCTGTGCTATTCCAGAGATCCCCAAGCTGAGAGAGTACATCAGGAATATCTTTCTGAAAGAGAAGAAGAAGCTGCTAATGGATTATGTGGCAGAGGCTTTCGGCATTGTCCTGCTGGCTGAGAATTTCAACTCCACACGAGACATGGTGGTACGGCTGGAAGAGCTTTGGGCGCTACAATCTGCTTCACTACTAGCACAGTGATGGTGCAGTGAATATTCCCCTCTCTTCCCACTGCAGTAGTTTCTCTGCACTCTGCCTTCTCCCCATTCCATCCCTGCTCCTTTGAACCAGGCCACTCACCCCGTGGTTCCTAGCAAGAAACAAATGCAAATCTGCTCCAAAAATCTAGTAATGAGCTGGCTAGTGTGTAAATGCACCACTGCCCCCGATGGATGGAGCTGGAGCTGTTTATCTATGTGCCATAGACCCTATACTGCTGACAGCTAATGTGGATGGTTCTGTAGTTCAAACTAGGGAGAGGGACTATACTTTTTGATGCAGGAGGCTCTGAGTTCTGTCCCTAGAGCAGGGCTAGATGATGACATGGTAGAAATCCCTGCACCCCTTCTACACTACAGCTTACTCCATTGGCAGCATCAGTGAAACTGTGTCAGAGCTGAAACATGCTATTTTCCCTAGTGTAGACACACCCACGTTGTCCAAGGCCATGCTCTATTTGTCCGGTTGGGCTTTTTGATGATGTCACACCAAGCACTACCTCCCAATTGCTCACCGCTGGACCCATATCACTGGGGGACAAAAACGTATCCCTGCGCCCATTGTGTTCTGTGGGTGGGTAAAGCAGTGAAAGGAGGAAAAAGATACAGAGATTCTGTTCTTTCCCCCCTATCTATAATTGACGTTTGAAACCACTACAGGCTTTATCTGCAAAGGCAGCCAAACCTTGTACCTCCCCTGTTGCCCAGCTGTCACTTCCCCCTCTCCTTCCCGCAGCCCCCAGCATCATGCCACGCTAGGGCTTTGGTTCAGTACTGACGCAGAGCACCCCAGCTGGACTGGCGACACCACGTCTTCCAGCACAGTGTGTTCTTTAGATGCCTCCCATCTGGTGCTGACTGAACCCAGGCCTGCGCTGCGGTTTCTAGCGAGAAGAAATCTTGGCCTGTCTCTTTATTTTGCCTCCAGTGTCAGCTGCGCAATGATGTGTCTTGTGCTATTCTGTCATTGCAGAATCACTATCAGCAGAGCGGCTTGGAAGGCTTTGTGAAGGACAAGATCGAGGCTTTGGAGAAGGAGATTGAGAAATGTTTTGCCCAGCTGGAACAGCCCCTTAACGAAGGCGTGAAGAAAGCAAAATTATCTCACCAAAAAACATTCTCTCAGCTCCTTACAGTGAGTAGCAAGCTCTCGACTTAGACCTCATGTGCAGCTTTCATTCTCTGGCCAGCAACTGCCTCCACCTTTGATTCCCTGTTGCTTATTAACTTTTAAGAAGTGCTTTGAGATCTGTGGCAGAAAGTCCTATAAGGGCTAAGAATTATTATTGGGTGTTGAGAGGATTAATTAAGGTTTGTGAAGGGCACTGGATAAAAGGCACCAGAGGAGAACAGCATGTTATGGGCTTGATTCTGATCCTCTTATTCGCATGGAATAGCCACTTACACCAATGGGACTTCTTGTGCGGTACAGTGCTACGCAGTGAGTAAGGGTATTGGAATCCAGCCCCAAATTAATATAGGGCTCCATTCTGCCACCTTTACTCGGGTGAGTAGTACTTTGCTCCCCTGAGTAGCCCTCAGTGGGATGACTTGCAGAGTAAGATGCTTCTCAACTTGATCTGTGTCACTGTAGTGTGGACACTTTCTACAGCAACAGAAGGAGTTTCCATCCTGCAGTTAATCCACCCCCTTGAGAGGTGGTAGCGAGGTCGAAAGAAGAATTCTTCATCTACCTAACAGTGTCTACACCGGGCTTAGGTCATCTTAACTACATCTCTCAGGGGTTACGTCAATCTACGTTTTAGGTGTAGACCAGGCCTTAGTCTCTGTGCCTGTGCTCCTCATCTGTACGGTAGAGATAATAATCCTTCCTTCGTCAGTCTATTAAGACAGTAAGTGAAAGGGCAGGGTGTGCTTGGGCAAACTTCTGTATAGATCTATCCTTCTTCCAGCATCTCAGCTTAGCTTTTTGCTGATGCACAGGCCAGAGCTCTGTCTTTCCAGAAAGCATCACAGAGACTCAGACCTCTCTCCTGTAACCTCTGGTGCTATTGTATGTAAAACCCTGATAAATGGAGGGTCATAGTTCCCAGTCATTTCCTGGGGAAGCACCGGACACTTTATTGATAAAATAACCATTGAGCCCTCACAAAACACACAGTAAATCATATACAACATTGTAATTGCATTTGGAATACTGTGAAGAACATTTAAACAAAAGCTCTTAGACAGTAAATCTGCTTATACAGACTCTCCCCCTTTTATTTCAGCTACAAACATTCCACTATAAGGTTTCAGGGTAACTGTCTGTACTTTAGCTCATATATCAAAACACACCCGCCTCTGGTCTCCTCTCAGAGATGATTTCTCAGGGCTTGTCTACATTTAATGTGGCTTGTGTAGTCATGGCAGAGCTCTCCCCAGCGCTCTAAAAAAACCCACCTCCACGAGGGGCGTAGCTACCAGCACTGGTTCACTGTCTACACTGGCACATTACAGCGCTGTTTTTTCCCCCACCCCTGAGCGAGAAAGTTGCAGCACTGTAAAGTGCCCGTGTGACTTTGCAGTGTGACTGTGGTGTGTCGTGTGTGTCACCTGGACTCTTCAGAGCTCGAGAACACTCCTGTCAAACACTTCAGACCCTGGCAGCGAACAAACACTCTGGGGAGCTCCCCAGCTAGCAGCTTCCAGCCCTTGGGGCAGTAGCTGACTGGTCCTCTCAGTTGCTGGTGAAACACAAATCTCTAGCCTGTATCCAAAGTGGTGCAGGGATCGGGATCAGCCTATAAAATATCCATTCCCTGGATCTCTACAAGCCTCTCGCTCTATAGGGCACCATCTTCTCCCCATAGACCCAGCTAACACGGGCAAGAATTCACAGACCCTCCCCTCAGTAAGTGCTGCCCCATTCGTGCTCTCTAACCGAGACAGAATCCCAGTTCAGAGCAGTTAGCTGAGAGCCAAATGTAAGTGCCACAGGTTCTGTAGCCTGATTCTTTAATAGTATTGATTGCCATTTGCTATAAATTTAATGAGCTGGGGGTAATAGGTTCTCATTCCAGAATCAGACTCAACAGAATTAAAATGAATAAGTTCAATATCTTGAGGGGAACCCAGGGTGCATGGCAAAGACACTGACACTGAGGGCAAGGCAAAGTCTTAGCCACTTTTATTAACACAATCAAGGAAGAGAAGGAACTTCCAAACCACAAAAACAAATAGCAGTAATATAGCATTAGGGATACCTGTGGTGTCATCCCCTGCATATGCTCATCTACTCACATCCTTCCTAGGGGACCTGGTGTGAGAGACAAAAGGACTAGCCCTGTCCCTGGCATGCCAAATGAGTCCGATGGTTCAGACCCCCAACACCCAAAGGCCAGTCCTAGATAAGAACAATGAAGAGCTGAAGGGTCAATGATGGAAACCTAGTGCCCGCTACATGGTGGCTTGGCCTATTGTAGGCCCTGGGTGCTATCATGAATATTCATTCAGATGCCCAGCTTCCCCTGTCCAAATCTGACTTCCTCACCCTCATAATATTGGGGTGCCCTTATCCGATAGGTTAACATATTAATGCCTTTTAGCGCATTATCATAGATGTCACCTATTGCTAAAGCAAGTTTGTGGTTAAACATCTGCCAACAATTCTATCCGAAAATATCCCAGCCCAGTATCAGTTCAGTGTTCCTGCAGTTGCCTGGTATCGTTAAGTACCAACTTCCTCTCTTGAGCAAGCTATTACCCTAGATTTTGGGGAACTGGGAACTGCCGGGCCATTTTATATATGCTGGTCACTCAATTACAGACCTCAAAGTCGCAATACTCCAACAAAAAACCTTCAAAAACAGACTCCAATGACAAACTGCAGAATTGGAATTAATTTGCAAACTGGATACCATTAAATTAGGCTTGAATAAAGACTGGGAGTGAATGGGTCATTACACAAAGTAAAAACTATTTCCCCATGCTAATTTTTCCCCTCTACTCTTACTCACACCTTCTTGTCAACTGTTGGAAATGGGCCATCCTGATTATCACTACAAAAGTTTTTTTTCTCCTGATGATAATAGCTCACCTTAATTGATTACTCTCGTTATAGTTGGTATGGCAACACTCCTTTGTTCATGTTCTCTGTGTGTATATATATCTTCCTACTGTATTTTCCACTGCATGCATCTGATGAAGTGGGTTTTAGCCCCTCAAAAGCTTATGCCAAATAAATTTGTTAGTCTCTAAGGTGCCACAAGGACTCCGCGTTCTTCTTGCTGATACAGACTAACACGGCTGCCACTCTGAGACCTACTTTACTTATTTTAACATGGTTAAGCCAATGCCTTACAGGATACAGGCCTGTAGGTTCCTTGCGTTACTGCTAAGCTAGCTCTATCAGCTACACCACTAAAGGTAATAAATGCTCCCCTGTCCCCCGCTCTCCACGCCGCTATGGACCAACATTATCCTAATACTGCCCTAGTAAGTAAAGCTGGAATAGCACTGACCTGTTCCCAGAGTGGTGCAGGGATGGGACCCAGCCCCCACAGCAACCTCAGTTCTTGGTCCTGCTTCGATCAGCTGCTGTCCACAGGGCTGTTTTTAATTCCTCTATTTATAACCTTCCCCCGCTCGCTCATTGGCTCAGCTCTCAGAGCTGACTTGCGTATGACCGGCAAAACAGGTTCCCACAATGAAAACTTCCTACACAGCCTCACTAACTGCTACTGAGCTCATCAGGTACCTGCCATGCCCTGTTCTGGAAGTTTCTAGGTCTTTCTGAGTTGCCCTGCCCTGCTGTCCGCACGTCCGTGTGCAAAGACACAGAATAGCCAGCTAAGATCCATGTCTCTCCCCACTATATCTCCCCCGTCCCGTGGAGAGACAAAGTCAAATGCTGCAGTGTAAAGCACATGGGTTAGAGTAGCTTTTCAGGACAGGCCTGTCTCTCATGGGTGCATCTACACTGCAGCTGGCATCTGATCGAGCGATTGCACTACAAATAGAAGTGTAGCAGTGTCGGCGCAGGGGGCAGGGGGTTAGCTGCCCCAAGTACATACTTAGGGTCTTGGACGGATCAGAGTTAGTGTGGATGGATATGTCTACTTGAGCTGGAAATCACATCTTCCGGCTCCACTGCATGTATGTACAGCTCCCTGCACAATGGGGCCCTAGCTCAGTTGGGGTCTATAGGTCCTATTGTAATACAAATCGTAAGTAATGTATCCCATACACACTTCATTACAACTGTGTTTCCAATTATCCAGCGAGACACTGGCAACCGAGGCTTCCACAGGACCCTGAAAGCCGTGTGCCAGAAGAATGGCGTATACGCGTCCCGGATCTTTTCCCGCATAGACTTCAACAGTGCCCTCGCTCAGCCCATCTATGACAAAATCAACCCCACGTTTGCAATCATATTCAGGTGAGAGGAGCCCTGTCCCACTCAGGCTGCAAAGACACCGAGCCTCCTTTGGTAGGGCTGTCTGGCCTCCCCTTTGGCCTCAGGGTCCTGCAGAACCCTGTTCCCTGGCCCTCCTGGGTAACCCAGTCTGCTCTTCACCTTGACTGTCTTGAGTGTCTTCTTCAGACTGATTTGGCTCTTCAAATTCTTCGTCATGGCTGTCGTTCTCTGTGTCATGTGTTCTACTGGAGACTTTTCAACCATATCTGCATCTTCACGGAGCTCTTCTGGCTCAACAGTAGAACCAGGTCTGCTAAAATACTTGCTTCAAGCACCCTTTTGCTTCTGTCTTTCAAGTGCCTTGGCCTTGTATATGGCTCTTTTCTTACTCCCACTTGGGTCCTCTCTACCAATGTCTCTTGATCTCTTACCCATATGGATAGACATCACCACATTCTAAAAGAATATTAATTATAGATTTTCACTTTCATATTAGGAAAATAATTTATGTTTTGATCGTTGTACAACTGATTTTCTTCAATAATGTTTATTTTATTAAAATTTATAAAATATGTCCTTATTTTTATATTAGATGAAATTAAGACAATAGGCCTAATCAGTTTTAAGATATATATTTGCAACCGTAATGAACAGTAATGAACTTAAGTCTTAAAGCAGCAAGCGAAAAGCATAGTTCATTTATGATATTTTAAGTATATGGAATACCAAAACAACGTGTCGTTATAAGTGTTATAAGTGTTTTCGCATTGCGGAATCAGCTGGGGCTAGCTAACGCGTAGTACATCATTATTATTATAGAGACAATTTATAGCCATGGTTAAGTTCAACTTACCAGTAAAAATGCAAATAATCCTTGCAATACAGCAAGAGGAACTATGTGACAGGTTGCCCAGCAGCTCTGGGTTGCCTGATTCCAATGCACTCCGCGCAGCCGTGACGTCAGGGTGTGACTCAAACACGGGCGGTACGCTGGGGCCAGCTCTGGCCCCCGGAAGGGGTGGGGCCTAGGGCGGAAGGGCTGGGGCTGAGGGGGTCAGAGCCAGCCCCAGCCCACCCTGTACGGTAAGTGCCCCCTCCTTCTCCCTCCCCCACCGGGGTAGCAGCAGCAGCTCGGGGCTCGGGGGCTATTTAAAGGGCCCGGGGCTCCCCTGCTTCTACCGCCCCGGCCCTGTAAATAGCCACCAGAGCCCTGGGGAAGTGGCGGGGCTCCAGCGGCTATTTAAAGGACTGGGGCAGCAGAGGCAGCTGGAGTCAAGGGCCCTTTAAATAGCCCCTGGAGTCCCCGCTACCCCAGGGCTCTGGGGGCTATTTAACGGGCCCGGGGCTCCCCTGCTTCTACCGCCCCGGCCCTTTAAATAGCTGCCGGAGCCCTGGGGAAGCGACGGGGCTCCAGCGGCTATTTAAAGGGCTGGGGCAGCAGACACAAGGGGAGCCCCGGACTTTTTAAATAGCCCCCAGAGCCCCGCAGCCCTAGCCCAGGGCTCCAGCAGTGGGGCTCTGGTGGCAATTTAAAGGGCCTGGGGCTCCAGCCCCTGCTGGGAGCCCCAGGCCCTTTAAATTGCCCCCTGGGGAAGCCGGGCCACCCCGGAGCCGGTGCGCCGTACCAGGGCGTACCGGCTTACTTGATTTCTCTTCTTCAGGGCGCAGGGCCCTCTTAGGCGCGGGGCCCGATTCAGGGGAATCGGTGGAATCGGCCTAACGCTGGCCCTGTTAGAGGCCCTATAAAGGCAGCAAAGCAGCCAGTCAGTGGCACAGGAGCTGGCAAACAGAACGGAAAACAGGGGAGTTCGAGTGGGAGTTTATAAGGGGAGCTTGAGGGAGGGACTGTTTGGTGTTCGTTTGTTTTTGTTTCCACCTGACAGGAGCTTAGGCAGGAGGGCTATGACAGATACAGCGGCAGCAAGGAAGATGACCGGATGTGGAAGCTGCAGGATGTACGTTATCCTGGAGCGGGTACCTGAAAAGAGCTTCGTTTGCATGAAGTGCCACCTGCTAGAGCTGGTGGAAGAGAAGATCTGAGGTTTGGAGATGCAAGTGGAAACTAGGTTGAATTTCAAAGGGGATTCGAGCAGATGATGAAGAGAAGGTGAGAGAAGGTTGAAGGGAAAAGTCAAGACTCTCAGATGCAAGCTGGATTGGAGAACTGTGAGGTAGACTGCTGGGTGAAGAAAGTGGCCAGTGGAAGCATGTGACTACGAGAACCAGGCAGAGGAAAAGACCAGCTAGTGAAGGATGAATAGAGCTCAGGAACAGGTTTGCTGAGCTGGAGAATGAAGAAGGGGCACAGCAGGCAGTAGTGGAAGGTGAGAGGGCAAGGAAGAAGAGAAGAGTGGCTAGCCCTAACAGCAGAGGGGAAGAGTCAATAGAGAAAGCCTGTATCCTCCTGGGGCCGACTCGCAGAAGATTGCAAGAGGGAACAAAAGACAAGAGAACTTGCAGCCAGAAAGAAGGCTGGAGAATCGCACCACCTCCAGGATGAGGCAGAGCTATCTGAATGGGGCTCCTTACTAAGAACAGACAGGCCTGTCACCAGAGCTGATCCGGAGAAAAGAAGGGTGTGCTGTCTGACGGGCGCTAAGATACAGGCCCGGCTGGATTTACAACTTTCGCGCCGCTAGGCACAGAATCTTCAGCACCCCCCCTTGCTCCCCATGTGGCCCTGCCTGGAGCCCCCCCTTCTGCATCCCCATGTGGCACTGTGATACACCCCACTCCCAGCAGCCCTGTGTGGCCCGCTCTGCCTCCTAACCTGGCTCCAAGAAAGCTGCTGTGACTTAAGGAAAAAATGCCCCTGCACCTGCCTGCCAGCTGTTTGCTGCCACTCACCAGACCAGTCAGCCTCAGCCAGCTCAGGCTGTTCTGGCACCACAGTGGCCTCTGGAAAATTCTGCCTCCCTCGAACAAGACTTCTGCACATGTTTCAAATGGCTAAGGGGAGGAGGCACAATATGAGACCAGCAGCGGGTGGGGCATCTCAGCAGCGGGCAGGGCAGATCTCCCTCCCGAGCAGTGTGGCCAGCGGCTGCAGGGCAGCAAAATAGCCCAAAGTACCGCAACTCACAACTGCTAAAAATAGCCCAACTGGGCTAGGAAATTGCACACTTGGCAATCTTAGTGCACCCCTAGAACGCTGTCGCCCCTAGGCGTGTGCCTACTGTGCCTAATTGGAAATCCAGCCCTCGATATGGCATGTGGATCGGAGGCTGAAGAGGATCGTAACAGGAGCAGGAAAGAATCCACTGACTATCCTTCACATGGGAACAAATGATACTGGTAGATTCTTTCTGGAGCGCATCAAGGGAGACTGTGCCAGACAGGGGAAGATGCTTAAGGAAATGGAATCTCATCTTCAGTGGAATTTTACCTGTCCCTGGAGGAGGATAATGAAGGCGAGACAAGATTATGATGGTCAACAGATGGCTCAGGCAGTGGTACTATGAGGAGGGCTTTGGGATGTTTGACTACGGGGAGGCATTCACGGACAGAGAATTGTTCCCTTGGGATGGACTCCACCTGAGTAGGGAGGGAAATAGACTTCTGGGATGGAGGTTGGCACAACTGATTAAAAGAGCTTTAAACTAGGAACTTGGGGGAGACGGTTGGGAGATGCTCATATAATCTCCACGCCTGATCCTAATATTGACCAGGAGGAAAATCAAGAAAGAAAGAATACAGCAGTAGATAGGAGAATGGACATTAACAGGAAAGATACTGTCAATACCAGTGAAGGTAACAGACAGGCAATACTGGCGGTAGAATGACTGTACCCAATTGGGTGAGGAATCTGGGCAAAGCCAACCAGCAACAGTTAAGATGTTTGTACACCAATGCAAAGAGCCTGAGAAACAACACGGAGTAGCTAGAACTACTGGTGCAGGAAGTGAAACTGGATACTATAGGGATATCAGAAACATGGTGGAATAGTAGTCATAACTGGAGTGCAGGTATTGAAGGGTATATGCTGTTCAGGAAAGACAGGACTAAAGGTAAAGGTGGTGGAGCAGCCTTGTATATTAATGATGTGGCAGACTGCAAACAAATGAGACATGATGGAATGGATAAAACAGAATCTGTTTGGGTCAAAATCACTTTGAGGAAGAAAGCTACCAGAGGCGCTATTGGGTTAGTGCTGAGGGTCTGCTACAGACCCCAGGATCTGATTTTGATCTGGATAGAGACCTCTTTAATGTTTTTAGTGAAATAAATACTACTGGGAATTGTGTGATTATGGAGACTTTAACTTCCCAGATATAGATTGGAGGACAAGTGCTAGTAATAATAGTTGGGCCCAGATTTTCCTGGATGTGATACACTGACAGATTTCTTCACCAAAGAGCCACCGAACCCACAAGAGGTGATGCCATTTTAGATTTTGGTATTAGTGTGTAGTGAGAACCTCAGAGATGAACTGGTTGTAGAGGACAATCTTGGTTCGAGTGATCATGAGCTAATTCAGTTTAAAATAAATGGAGGGAAAACCACAAATAGATCTGCAACTAGGGTCCTCGACGTCAAAAGGGCAAACTTTAGAAAATTAAGGGAATTAGTTAGGGAAGTGGACTGGATTGAAGAACTGCAGGATCTAAATGTGAAGGAGGCTTGGGATTACTTTAAATCAAAGTTGCAGAAGCTACCTAAAGCCTGGATCCCAAGCAAGGGGGAAATTTGTAGGGAAGCGTTACCAGACCAAGCTGGATGAGCAAGCATATCGAACAGATTATTAAGAGAAAGCAGAAAGCCTACAAAGAATGGAAGATAGGAAGGATCAGCAAGGAAAGCTACCTCTTGGAGATCAGAAATTATAGGGGGAAAGTGAGAACTGCCCAAAGCCAAGCAGAGCTGGACCTTGCAAAGGGAATTAAAACCAATAGTAAAAGGTTCTGTAGCCATATAAATAAAAAGAAAACAAGGAAAGAAGAAGGAGGACCACTAAACACTGAGGATGGGTGGAGATCAACACCTAAACAAATACTTTGCCTGAGTTTTTAATAAGGCAAATGAGGAGCTCAGGGGTAGTAGCAGGGTGGCTAATGGAAATGAGGATATGGAAGTACAGTAGAAATTACCACATCTGAGGTGGAAGTCAAACTAAAAAGCTTCATGGGACTAAATCAGAGGGTTTGGATAATCTCCATCCGAGTATATTGAAGGAATTGGCACATGAAATCACAAGCCCAATAGAAAGGATTTTTAATGAATCTGGAAAACTCGGGAGTTATACCCTATGATTGGAGGATTGCTAATATAGTAGATGTTTTTAAGAAAGGGGGAAAAAGAGATCTGAAAAACTACAGGCTTGTTAGTTTGACCTCAGTTGTATGCAAGGTCTTAGAACAAAAGAAAGAGAAAGTAGTTAAGGACATAGAGGTAAACAGGGATTGGGATAAAATAAAACAGGGTTTTACAGAAGGTAGATAGTGCCAGACCAACCTGATCTCTTTCTTTTAAGAAAACAACTGATTTTCTTTAGACTAATGTCCCTGGATTTAAAGTTCCACATGGGAAATTAGTTAAATTGGAAAAGATGGGGATTAATATGAGAATTGAGAGGTGTATAAGGAACTGGTTAAAGGGTAGACTACAACAGGTCATACTGAAAGGTGAACTGTGAGTCTGCAGGGAGATTGCTGGTGGAGTTCCTCAAGGATTGGTCTTGGGAACCATCTTATTTAACATTTTTATTCCTGACCTTGGCACAAAAAGTGGGAGTGTGCTAATAAAATTTGCAGATGACACAAAGTTAGGAAGTATTGACAATACAGAGGAGGACCAGAATATCAGATTAGATCTGGACAACCTTTGAAAACTGGAGTAATAGAAATGGGATGAAATTGTATAGTGCAAAGTACAAAGTTATGCACTTAGGAACTAACAAGAATTTTTGCTATAAGCTGGGAACTTATCAGTTGGAAGCAACAGGGGAGGAGCAAGACCTGAGTGTATTGGTGGCTCACAGGATGACTATGAGCCGCCAATGTGATGTGGCCGTGAAAAAGGCTAATGCGATCCTAGGATGCATCAGGCGAGGTATTTTCAGTAGCGATAAGGAAATGTTAATACCATTATACGAGGCACTGGTGAGAGCTCATCTGGAATACTGTGTGCAATTCTGGTCTCCTATATTTAAGAATGATGAATTCAAACTGGAATAGGTGCAGATAAGGGCTACTAGGATGACCCAAGGAATGGAAAACCTACCTTATGAGAGGAGACTCAAAGAGCTTGGCTTGTTTAGCCTAACCAAATGAAGGCTGAGGGGAGATATGATTGCTCTCTATAAATACATCAGAGGGATAAACACTAGGGAGGGAGAAGAGTTATTTAAGTTAAGGGCCAGTGTTGACACAAGAACAAATGGATATAAACTGGCCATCAAAAATTCAGACTTGAAATTAGATGAAGGTTTCTAACCATCAGAAGAGTGAAGTTCTGGAATGGCCTTCCAAGGGGAGAAGTGGGGGGCAAAAACCTAACTGGCTTCAAGACTGAACTTGATAAATTATGGAGGGAATGGTTTGATGAGATGGCCTACAATGGCATGTAGCCGATCTTCGACTGCTAGTAGCAAATATCCCCAATGGCGGTGATGGGACACTAGATGGGGAGGGCTTTGAGGTACTACACAGAATTCTTTCTGAGGCGTCTAACTGGTGTGTCTTGCTGAAATGCTCAGTGTCCAATGGACCACCATATTTGGGGTCAGGAAGGAATTTTCCCCCCGGTCAGATTGGCAGAGACCCTGGGGTTTTTTGCCTTCCTCTGCAGCATGGGGCACGGATCACTTAGAGGTTTAAACTAGTGTAAATAGTGGATTCTCTGTCACTTGAAGTCTTGAAGTCGTGATTTGAGGACTTCAGTAACTCAGCCAGAGGTTGTGGGTCTATTACAGGAGTGGGTGAGTGAGGTTCTGTGGCCTGCGAGATGCAGGAGGTCAGGCTAGATGACCATGATGGTCCCTTCTGGCCTTAAAGTCTTAGTCTGTGAGATCTGCCTCGTAGCTCACTGTTGGACTCCTGACCCCAGCTCTGACCCATACTCTGAATTCTGGCCTCTGACCATCCCTGCTCTGACCACTAGGCATGACTGTTCAAGCCCCAGTCATGACACATTATTATGACTGTAGACAAGACGATCAGCCCTGACTCTCCTCTCTCGTCCACCATTTATAATTGTTATGGTAGGGCCTAGGAAGCCCAGTGAAGGATCCTGGCTCCCATTGTGCTGGGCACTGTGCAGACATGTGAAGAAGAAGACAGACCCTGCTCACAGTCTGGGCATAAGACAAATGGTGGGGATGGATAGGAAGATGAGTAACAAAAGGAAGTGGGCTTAGCAAAAAGCAGAAGTCTCAACTGGCACTAGCGTAGGCCAGGCCCGAGGGGTGCTGTGTAGGTCCCAGCAGAGCTGGATTTAAGGAGGGATTTCAGGAGAATAAGGTGACACCTTGACAAATTTTGCAGCTCCATTGCTTTCAGCGGGCCTGCCCCCACCTGCCATTCACACTTTCGTTAATTGCACGGTACCTGAGTAACTTAGGGAAATGCCACCCTGTGCCCCTTTGGGGTGTAAGTGGCGTTGGATATTGGCACGTAAGGAAATGAACAAAGCTCCGTGGCTTCAATCCTTCCCCGGTGCCCAAAAGGAGAAGGGCTCAGCCCAGTAGTTGAGGCAGTGGAGGTGTCACTCCTGCAGAGCCACGGGGTCAAATGTTTACCCCAGCTGCTATAGAAAGGTGTGTTTGGGTGTTCGCTCCTTCCTGACCGAGGGGAATCTCCCAGCTTTACACTATTGGCTAGAAAAGGGGGTGATCTGGACCTGAGCAGAGGGAGGGAGGGGGTGTGATAGGCACCTGTGTGCACTGGCTTCAAGTGATCCTGAGCTGACAGAACAGTTCTCAGGGGATCGGTCCAGGTGTCATATGGTAGAGTAGCCCTGTGGCTGCTCTAGCTTATACCAGAGTCAGCATGGCACCTGGCCAGCTGTGGGATTGGATGGGGGGGGTACAGATGGCTTAGAGCCACCTTTGTTTCTCCTTCTACCTCCCCACTCAGCTGTGTTGAGTAAGGGAGGATCGAGCCAATTTGTCTTTTTAATGATTTATATTTTATTATCTAACTAGGATCCAAAAGGGAACCAGAGCCTCGTTGAAACCCTGCCTTGATATGTTCAAAGACTCGGTGCAGGAGAAAATCGGTGAGGTTGTGAAGAAGAGCCCAGTGACCAGGGACCACTGCAAGCTCAACTTCTTCATTGAGGAAGTAAGTTGAGGTTAAGAAAAGAGTGAGTGCTCTGCCCTGCCAGACAGAACTTCTGGGGTGAGAGTCATCCGGCTATTCTGCCTCTCCACTTGGCAGGGCCGAGGAGGGCTGCAGGATGGGGATAACCATGGGAGGGTAACAATGGGTGATGGGGATAACAATGGGAGAATAAGAATGGGTGATGAGGACTCTCAGGGAGTGCAGGATCAGCTCTGTGATGAACTCTGCCTTCTGACCCACTGATAAGAGACCTGAACAGCTGTAGGTTGTAGCCAACACACAGTGTTTAGCATTTATTACCTGGCATCCATGCAGGGCCAGACTCTCAGGTGCAGCAGAGCTGTGTTTAGCACAGGACCCAAGGGGGGAGCACAGGGGGTGGAGAAATCGCCTTGACTCCAGGACTGGTTTGGCCCTGGTGTGACTTAGAGCACCCTAAAGGCCTAAATGACACTGGTAATGGTTCCCCTAGGGACCATCCTGACTGGAAAGGACGGTCAAAGCCCAAGGCAATGTGCTCCATACCCCCCCCCCCCCGATACATTAACATGCCTCCTGTGCCAGGTGGGCTGGGATAGTGCGGTGTGTACAGTGATGTCAGCCCAATGGGAGGGCCAAGGACCAATCCCCAGTCTGTAAGATAATCAGACATCGAATCTCTGTGCACACCAACGAAACCTGGTGAGGTTTGAAATAAATAGCAAGGACTGAAAATAATCCTGGTCCAAGGCAATGCTCCCTCTCATTTTTTCCATCCATGGGCGGAATGAATTTTGTTATGTGCACCGAGGGATGTGCGCCACCAGTAGACACAAAAAACCTAGATATAATATATTTTAAGTTACCACAGGGATAATTACTCCAGCCAGGACAGGTTAGGCATTTTAGAACTCACTACTCAAAGAATTCAATTTAAGTGTAAGAGAAATAAAAATGATGAAATGCAGAGACCAGTCAAAACACTCAAATAACACACTTTGAAAGAATAAAAGTACAGAGAACGTGTGTGCATTGCAGGAAGTATCAAGAAGTGTGTGTGTGTATGTGACAGAGACAGGGGGAGAGGGAGAGAGAGAGAGAAACAGACGGAGATTGCGTGTGCTGGCAGCTGGGGAATTCTCAGAGACCGCCTGTCTCTTTAAGGCACTCACTCACTCACTCACCCGGAAGGCTGCTTCAGACCTCAGACCGCAACAGCTTTCTCCAGCTCAGAGTCCTGAGCCAGGCTGTCCCCTCTCCCCTGCTTTGTGGAGATGGGGTGCAGGGGGACACCCTGACATCAGCACCTCTCTCCCCCTGCCTGCTCTGCACAGCCAGCAGGAGGGTCTTGGGAGCAGCTGCAAGAGTAACATGGCTGCAGAGCAGCAGGGGGAGGAGCACCTGAACACACGCTGCTGGATGTGCGCAGCTCTGCGGCACTTGAATCTCTCCTGGGCAGCCGCCCAACCATGCAGCTTAGAGGGAACAAAGGTCCAGGGTCCGGGATAGTTTCACTCCCCTCTGCACCAGTTCCACCATAGCACTGCTAGGCTGATGATGTGTTTAAGGTCTGGTCTCTTGTGAATTCCTAAGGCAAGTACCCCAACTGCTTTATACCATTGGAAAGCAACTGGGAATCCCAAAGGACATACCAGACTGGGTTCTCATCCTCGTAGCTAACAAGAGAACCTGCCCCCTTAACTGGCTGGTGATTATAATCAGCTGGAGCCATCAGGGCATATGTTGGACACTGTGGACTGGACTAGGTCGTAGAGGTGGAAAACCATCAGAGACTCAGTCTGCACCTCCAACCAGGGAATCTTCAGACACCCTTGAGGCACAGGAGCAATGAAGTTAGTTAGAAGGCACCAGGTGTTCTTTAGCCTTTAAGCTGGGGAAAGGTTTGTGGAGCTCACAGGCTGTTTGAATTGACATATTTGTATCTAAAACTCTGGCCTTAAGAATCCCACACCTGCATATTCCACCTTGATTCTGCGTCTAACCAATAAGCAAACCACCCCTGAATCCCTGATCAGGTCTTCTGTTCCAAACCGTTTACTTAGATCATTTTTACAATTGAGGGATTGAAAAGATAACGGCAAATGCTTTAAATTGATTCATGCAGACAAACATCATCCTGAGGACCCTGGAAAGAGAGATCCTTAAGAAGAAGATGGCTGTCTACCAGTCCCTTCCGCTGTCCATCCAGAGTGACCTAAAGCCTTACTATGAAGGTAGGACCCTTTTGCTGGGTGACCCTGCGTTTTGTGGTGTCGGTTTGTTCTCTGGCACCAGGCCATGAGGGAGTGATGATGATGATGAACTTCTTTTACTTTAGCCTCCAAAGTGGAAAAATGCCAGGTGAAGGGAGAGCACATTGGTCTCTATCTTCAACCATAAAGGAGATGTGGAAGCATGTTGTAATCACTGACTGTCATGGCGTGTATCTATCCCATGCTGGCCCAGCAACCAAAGGTTTAGCACAGACACTGCTGATTGGCAGCCTCACGGCAGCTGGGAGTATCAAAGGGCTGAGAAGCAGAGAGGCGTGGCGCCTGCCAGAGGAGTGAACAGGCTGGAGAAGGGAACTCCTGCCAGCAGGCTGCTGAAGAGCCACCGGGGACAACACCCTAGAAAGAGACGACCAGAGCACCAGGCTCAGCCCGCAGAGACCTGAGGGAAGGCAGGAAGGAGCTCAGGGCACAGCCGGAGAAAACGAACGCTGATCCAGTTTATCTAGCTTGAGGCCCTGAGCTGGAACCCAGTGGAGTGGGCAGGCCTGGGTTCCTCTACCAACCCCCTGATGAACTTAAGGGCAGAGAGAGTTTTCAGATTTCTGGGCACCAGGAATAGGTGAACTCAGGTGCCAGAGGGGGCACCATTGCACCGACGCACTGACTCACACAGACCCATCAAGTAAACGAGTCATACGATGAAATGGCTGGAAAGAATTATCGAGAAAAGACTTTGTGAGGAACTGGAGCATCAAGTAAGCGACAACCAATCTGGGTTTGTGCCAGGAAGGTCAACGATCAGCACAGGCCAAATACTGCAGGAGAAGTGCAGGGAGAAACGCAAGGAATTGCATTTAGTGTTTGTGGACTTGGAGAAGGCTTATGACAGCGTCCCTAGAGGTGATGCCTGTGGACATGCAATCTGCTAGAGTTATACGTTCAGACTATCATGGACATGTACAAGGGCCACAAAACAGTAATGAGGAGCAGCTCCGGCTCCAGTGGGCCATTTACTGTAGGGTCTACAACAAGGATCAGCTTTAAGCCCATTCCTGTTTGTGATTGTAATGGACACCTTGAGGCAGGGCATTAGGAGAGAGGCTCTATGGAGCATGCTTTTCATAATGTTGACAAGAGATGACATAATGTTGTGCCGCAAGGATAAACACGATCTAGAAAGGGACCTAGAATGATGGAGGGCTGCAGGAGCAGAAAATTGTTTACAAATCAGCTGTCAAAAGATGGAATACACATGATGCTTCATGGAGAGGGACAAGGAGAATCCAGTAAAGATGGATGGTATAGTGTTACAGTCTGTGCAACAATTTAAATACCTCAGATCAGAGTTATCCCTTGATGGGAATGGAGATGTGGATGTTAGGAGTCTCATGAAGAGCACTTGGTGTAAATGGAGGGAGTTGATGAGGAGTTCTCTGCAATACTAACATGCCAAGAAAACTAAAGAGCAAAGTGTATAAGACCATGGTTAGACCAGCCGTGACATACAGCTCAGAATGCCAAGAAGGAAGAGAGAACGACTACTTCACACTGTGGAAATGAGAATGCTCTGGGGGACAATGAGTAAGAACAGAGCTGAGATGCTAATCAGTGAAGTGGTACGAGCTGTGATGCAGGTCGATCCCATCAGGGAAAAGCTGAAGACCATTGACTGAGGTGGCCGGGTCATGTGAGACAACAACACAGCGAGAGAGTACAATATCTATTAGTCACAGGACAAAGACCATGGGGAAGACCCAGAAAAGGGTGGTTTGAGATGCTGGAGGAGGAAATGAAGAAGGTTGGTGTCAGCTTGGAACATGCACTTGACAGGAACGCTTGGCGACCAAGAACAAGAGCCAACGACCCTGACTAAAACGGAACAGGAAAGCGAAGAAGAAGTTTGTTCTCTAGCCTCTTGAAATGTTTTTTTTCCAGTCAGATAGAAGAACTCTTCTTGCCTCTCACTGGGGACCAGTTACAGGGACCATCTCAGTTTCATTAGCACCAGTAAAGCATGAAGCAAAATCTGTAAATTGGTGTTCTTGGGCAACATGGTTTTGGTGGTGCCGCAGATATGGCCAGTGCTCCCTTCCAGCCATCCAGCCAGGTTTATTGCCCTCCAGCCACAGTGCCCCCTGGCAAGGAGCGGCTCAGTCAGCGGGTGGAATTTCTGCTGTCCTGTCAGCCATGCAAAGGGTTAAGGTGAGGTACCCCACCATTAATAGACTGAGACAAACAACTTACAGACGACCTTATGTGTTTCATGACACCTGCTTGTTACCTCCTTGCTCCTGATGTCTCTGGCAAAACATCCTTATTCATCAGTTCTGTCAAATCCTCTTATCTTGTGCTAGATTGGGGGTGTACCTGTGCTAGCCTTCTGGAATGTGTTTACATACAAACCCAATGACTAGTGCTTCTTAGAAGTGCCTGTGTTTTAGCAATTCTAGCAGGATCCTTGCCAAGTTCATGTACCAGACAGTGAACTTGTAAGCACTTGTTTTAATACATGGCCTGACTTTGGTTCACAGGTCTTATGACCCTGTGCTCCGTGCTGTCTCTCTCTCGCTCGCTCTCTCTCTCTCCTGCTGGAGTCAGTCTGAGATCCTTGTGGATGGGTGGAGGCAGAGCCGTCCCTTGGATACGGCAAATCGAGGCGACCGCCCTGGGCCCCGCGCTTTGATAAAATTGTGAGGAAGCGGGCAGGGAGGTGGGCAGTGGGTAGTAAGGAGGCGAATGGGGAGGCGAGCGGCAGGCTGGTGAGGGGGTGAGGAAGACCCCCCAACCAGAACCTCCCCCTTCCCCCAGTGCCTCCTACCAGCTGGCAGGCCCAACCGATCAGCGCCTCCCCCTCCCTCTCAGTGTCTACTGCCTGCCGTGGATCAGATGTTTCGCGGTGTCAGGAGGCACTGGGGGGAGGAAGGAGGAGCGAGGGCGCAGCTCGCTCGGGGGAGGGAGCAGAACTGGGCGGGGAAGAGGCAGGGTGGGGTGGGAAGAGGCGGCGCAGGGGTGGGGCCTTGGGGAAAAGGGTGGAGTGGGGGCAGGGCCTGGGCGGAGCCAGGGGGAGCATCCCCAGGCAAATTAGAAACTCGGCGCCTATGTCCCAGGCCTCACATCCCCCTAGGGATGGCCCTGGATGGAGGAGTTCCAGAAGGATTAAAGAGGCGTGGGAGAAGGAGCCAGGGCACTGCACTGAGGCAGAGGAGTGGGATGGGGAAGAGTCTTGGAACAGGGATTGGGATCTGGCACAAATCAATTCCTGCTCAGCGTTTCACTGGCATCTCTGCAGTGCCCTGAGGCAGTGAGGTCCCTCCCACTCTGGGCTGGGGCACGTGTGGGCATGGAGGGGTCATTTGCATTGAGGAATATGAGGGAGTGTCATTCTCTGGGGCAGCCAGGCTGGCTCCTTTCTCCAGCACTAAAGTCACTGTCACTAGAAGAAGCAGCTAGATGTCCCTTCGAGTGGTGCCGTCACTGCCATTGGTTGCCGTTACTTTCTTCACCTAAACCCAGTACGTGCCACCCTCCCTGCCCCAAATCCTTCCCAGTCTTGTCTAGAGCTGTGACTGCTCCCATCTTTCCAACAGAGGCGGCTAAGATCCAGGGGCCGCGATCCTGCCAGAGGATGCAAAATATCCTCAAGGAGAACATTGAGAAAAAGACAGAGGGTGGAATGTTTGAGAAGGCAAAGGAGAAGATGAAGATGCAGCTCCAGGAACTGAAGGTGAGGGATGCTTCCCCCTGCTCTGTGGGGCTGTATTGATGGGTTTGGGTGGTGCTGTCTGGCAACAGTACCGTGTCCACAGAGGGAGCGGCCCAGAGCAAGCTACCCAGCCAGAATGTAGGCCAAAGATATTGGAGCAACCCCCCTGCTCCATGGGATGTTCAGTTTCCACTTAGAGCAGACACAACGTGACCTTGATTTTCAAGGCCTCCTTTAAAGGTCTGATCTTGCAAACACACCTGTGCCTAACAGAACAGCACCATTGACTCCAGTGGAACCACAAATGGGCTTTAAAGTAAGTGTGGGCGTGTTTGCAGAATCACTGATATTTATTATTTGTGTTACCGTAGCGCTAAGGAGCACTGGTCATGGCCAGACCCCACCGTGTTGGGCGCTGTATAAACATAGAACCAAAGGACAGGCCCTGCCCCCGAGAGCTTACAATCCAAGAATAAGACAAGAGACAGCAGGTGATCGGAGTGTAAATGATCTCTGTACAGTGAGCTGCATGGAACTCGAAGGTGTAGCAAGAAAGGGTAGTGACTGCACCATTTTCCTGAGAGTAGGTGTATGCTCTAGCAACTCAGACCTTCTTTGTATAGAACAACAAGGGGTCCTATAAAGGTAGCCAGCCAGTCAGACAGTGGCACAGACAACTGCAGCAGCACAGGAGCCAGCAAACAGAGCTGTAAACACGGGACTTTGAGTGGGAGTTTGCAAGAGGAGTTTGGGGGGGAAGACTAAGAGCCAGGCAGAGGAACAGACAGGCTCATGAAGGGAGGGTGTGGTGTTCTAGCAGTGTTTTGGTGCTTGTTGGGGGTTTGTTTTGCTGTGGGTGGTGGTGTTGTGGTTTGGTTTGTGTTTCCCAGATTTACAGGATTTAGGTGGGAAGCCTATGACAGATACAGAGGCAGCAGTGGTAGTGACCCAAGCAGTGGAAGACATAATGAAGATGACTGTATGTGGAAGCTGCGGCATGTACATGATCCTGGAGGGAGTACCTGAAAAGAGTTTTGTCTGCATGAAGTGCCGCCTGATAGAGCTGATGGAAGAAAAGATCTGAGGACTGGAGATGCAGGTGGAAACTCTGGTTGAGTTTAGAAGGGGGTTCGAGGAGATGATGGAGCAAAGACATGAGGAGGCTGAAGGGAAAAGCTCAGACTTGCAGATGGATGCAGGACCAAAGAACTCTGAGGGGAGACTGCTGGGTGAGGAAAGTGGACAGTGGAAGCATGTGACTAAGAGAACCAGGCAGAGGAAAAGACGGACTAGTGAAGGAGAAATAGAGCTCAGGAACAGGTTTATGGAGTTGGAAAATGAAGAAGGGGCACAGCAGGTGGTCGCTGAAGGTGAGAGGGCAAGGAAGAAGAGAAGAGCAGCTAGTCCTATAGGAAGAGGGGAAGAGTCAATGGGGATAACAACACCAAATATGAGCCCCAGGAGGATACCGGATGGGTTGCAGAGGATTGCAAGGGAGAATAGGAATCGAGAGGACTTGCAGCCAGAGGGAACAGGGGATAGACCGGAGAATCGCACCGTCACCAGGAAAAGGCAGGTCTACGTGATTGGGGACTCCTTACTGAGAAGACTAGACAGACCTGTAACCAGAGCTGATCCAGAGAACAGAATGCTGTGCTGTCTGCCGGGTGCTAAGATACGGGATGTGGACCTGAGGCTGAAGAGGATCCTAACGGGAGCGGGAAACAATCCACTGATTGTCCTTCATGTGGGAACAAATGATACGGCTAAATTCTCGCTGGAACGTATCAAGGGAGACTATGCCAGGCTGGGGAAGACGCTTAAGGAAATCGAGGCTCAGGTGATCTTGAGTGGGATTCTGCCTGTTCCTAGAGAAGGGCAACAAAGGTGTGACAAGATTATGACGATCAACAGATGGCTCAGGTAGTGGTGCTATAAGGAGGGCTTTGAGATGTATGGCCACTGGGAGGCATTCATGGACAGAGGACTGTTCTCTCGGGATGGACTTCACCTGAGTAGGGAGGAAAATAGACTTCTAGGATGGAGGCTGGCACAACTGATTAAGAGAGTTTTAAACTAGGAATTTGGGGGAGATGGTTGGGAGATGTCCAGGTAATCTCCAAGCCGGATTTTAACACTGAGAAGGAAGAAAACGAAGTAAGAAAGAATACAGCCGTGGGTAGGAGAATGGACATATGGAGGAAGGGTAGTGTAGATACCAGTCTAATAGGTGATACTGGCAGTAGAATGTCTGGGCCTAATCGGGTAAAGAATCTGAGCGAAGCAAAACAGCAAAAATTAAGATGTTTGTACAGTAATGGGAGGAGTCTAGGTAACAAAATGGAGGAACTAGAGTTACTGGTGCAGGAAGTGAAACCAGATATTATAGGGATAACAGAAACATGGTGGAATAGTAGTCATGACTGGAGTGCAGGTATTGAAGGGTATGTGCTGTTTAGGAAAGACAAAGGTAGTGGAGTAGCATTGTATATCAATGATGAGGTACGAGCAAGCATCTCAGGGAGGTGATTAAGAAAAAGCAGAAAGCCTACAAGGAGTGGAAGATGGGAGGAATTAGCAAGGAAAGCTACCTTATTGAGGTCAGAACATGTAGGGATAAAGTGAGAAAAGCCAAAAGCCATGTAGAGTTGGACCTTGCAAAGGGAATTAAAACCAATAGTAAAAGGTTCTATAGCCATAAAGATAAGAAGAAAACAAAGAAAGAATAAGTGGGACTACTGAACACTGAGGCTGGAGTGGAGGTTAAGGGTAATCTAGGCATGGCCCAATATCTAAACAAATACTTTGCCGCAGTCTTTAATGAGGCTACTGAGGAGTTTAGGGATAATGGTAGGATGACAAATGGGAATGAGGATATGGAGGTAGATATTACCACATCCAAGGTAGAAGCCAAACTCGAATAGCTTAATGGGACTAAATTGGGGGGCCCAGATAATCTTCATCCAGAATATTAAAGGAACTGGCACATGAAATTGCAAGCCCATTAGCAAGAATTTTTAATGAATCTGTAAACTCAGAGGTTGTACCGTATGACTGGGGAATTGCTAACATAGTTCCTATTTTTAAGAAAGGAAAAAAAGGTGATCCAGGTAACTACAGGCCTGTTAGTTTGACATCTGTAGTATGTAAGGTCTTGGAAAAATTTTTGAAGGAGAAAGTAGTTAAGGACATTGAGGTCAATGGTAACTGGGACAAAATACAACATGGTTTTACAAAAGGTAGATCGTGCCAAACCAACCTGATCTCCTTCTTTGAGAAGGTAACAGATTTTTTAGACAAAGGAAATGCAGTGGATCTAATTTACCTCGATTTCAGTAAGGCATTAGATATGGTTCCACATGGGGAATTATTAGCAAAATTGGAAAAGATGGGGATCAATATGAAAATTGAAAGGTGGATAAGGAACTGATTAAAGGGGAGACTGTGACGTTGCAGTCTATATGATTTTATAAAAATATGCTAATGAGTGAATATAATGTAACTGGAATATGCTTCATGCAAAAGGTCTCTTGTAAGGTATCATTACAAAACTTATAATCTACTGAGTGTGATCATCCTATTTGTATAAATGTACCACTCTTGTATCTGAATCCAGAAATATGAAATATAACTCTGAGGGCCTATTGTAATTATGCAAAGTGTGGGCCATTAATGGTGGTTTGGAATCTTGATGGCTCCCATCAACCAGGACAATTGACTGTGGATGGCTCTGTTTGCAGGCAGGCCTTCCTCTGAGTCAGGCTGGGAGGAATGAAGGCTTGGGGTCTTACAGTGACACGTGATCATGTCACCTGAACTGGAACCCATCTTTAACCTAGTGCTTTTCCATTGGGGGGGGGGAAGAGAACCCAGAGGGACAAAGGATTCCCGCCTTATGCAAAAGATATATAAATGGGTGTAACAGAACAAAGAGGAGAGCCATCATGAGGAATCCCTTAGCTACCATCTGAACTGGAACAAGGGCTGTACCAGGGGAAAGGATTGTGCCCAGACTAGGAAGGCATCCAGTCTGAGAAAAGAAACTTATTGAAACATCTTTCAGGGTGAGATATTATCTGTACTCAATTGTATTACTGTATTAGGCTTAGATTTGCGTGTTTTATTTTATTTTGCTTAGTAACTCACTTTGTTCTGTTTGTTACTACTTGGAACCACTTAAATCCTAGTATTAGAGGGGTAGCCGTGTTAGTCTGAATCTGTAAAAAGCAACAGAGGGTCCGTCTGATGAAGTGGGCATTCACCCACGAAAGCTTATGCTCCAATACTTCTGTTAGTCTTAAAGGTGCCACAGGACCCTCTGTTGCTTTTTACTTAAATCCTACTTTCTGTATTTAATAAATCACTTTTTACTTATTAATTAACCCATAGTATGTGTTAATAACTGGGTGGGCAAACAGCTGTGCATATCTCTCTATCAGTGTTATAGAGGGCGAACAATTTATGAGTTTACCCTGTATAAGCTTTATACAGGGTAAAATGGATTTATTTGGGTTTAGACCCCATTGGGAGTTAGGAATCTGAGTGTTAAAGACAAGAACACTTCTGTAAGCTGCTTTCAGGCTAAGCCTACAGCTATTAGGGGACGTGATTCAGACCTGGGTCTGGGTTTGCAGCAGGCTAGCGGGTCTGGCTCAAACCAGGCAGGGCACTGAAGTCCTAAGCTGACAGGGCAGGAAAGCAGGAGCAGAAGTAGTCTTGGCACATCAGGTGGCAGCTCCCAAGGGGGGTTCTGTAATACAACCCGTTACAGAGACTACAACGGGTCGTACTGAAAGGTGAACTGTCAGGCTGGAGGGAGGTTACTAGTGGAGTTCCTCAGGGATCGGTTTTGGGACCAATCTTATTTAATCTTTTTATTACTGACCTTAGCACAAAAAATGGGAATGTGCTAATAAAGTTTGCAGATGACAAAAAGCTGGGAGGTATTGCCAATACAGAGAAGGACCGGGATATCATACAGGAAGATCTGGGTGACCTTGTAAACTGGAGTAATAGTAATAGGGTGAAATTTAATAGTGAAAAGTGCAAGTGCATTTAGGGATTAATAACAAGAATTTTTGTTATAAGCTGGGGACGCATCAGTTGGAAGTAACAGAGAAGGAGAAGGACCTCGGAGTATTGGTTGATCACAGGATGACTATGAGCCGCCAATGTGATATGGCCGTGAAAAAAGCTAATGCGGTCTTGGGATGCATCAGGCGAGGTATTTCCAGTAGAGATAAGGAGGTGTTAGTACCGTTATACAAGGCACTGGTGAGACCTCATCTGGAATACCGTGTGCAGTTCTGGTCTCCCACATTTAAGAATGATGAATTCAAACTGGAACAGGTACAGAGAAGGGCTACTAGGATGATCCGAGGAATGGAAAACCTCTTATGAAAGGAGACTCAAAAAACTTGGCTTGTTTAGCCTAACCAAAAGAAGGCTGAGGGGAGATATGATTGCTCTCTATAAATATATCAGAGGGATAAATATCAGGGAGGGAGAGGAATTATTTAAGCTCAGTACCAATGTGGACACAAGAACAAATGGATATAAACTGGCCATCAGGAAGTTTAGACTTGAAATTAGACAAAGGTTTCTAACCATCAGAGGAGTGAAGTTCTGGAACAGCCTTCCAAGGGGAGCAGTGGGGGCAAAAGACATATCTGGCTTCAAGACTAAGCTTGATAAGTTTATGGAGGGGATGGTATGATGCGATAGCCTAATTTTGGCAATTAATTGATCTTTGACTATTAGCGGTAAATATGCCCAAAGGCTGTGATGGGATGTTAGATGGGGTGCAATCTGAGTTACTACAGAGAATTCTTTCCTGGGTGTCTGGCTGGTGAGTCTTGCCCACATGCTCAGGGTTTAGCTGATCGCCATATTTGGGGTCGGGAAGGAATTTTCCTCCAGGGCAGATTGGCAGAGGCCCTGGGGGTTTTTCGCCTTCCTCTGTAGCATGGGGCACGGGTCACTTGCTGTAGGATTCTCTGCACCTTGAAGTCTTTAAACCATAATTTGAGGACTTCAGAGCTCAGACATAGGTTAGGGGTTTCATACAGTAGTGGGTGGGTGAGATTCTGTGGCCTGCATTGTGCAGGAGGTCAGACTAGACGATCTTAATGGTCCCTTCTGACCTTAAAGTCTATGATTCTGTGATTCTGTAACAAGCTGTTTTTTAACACCTGGCTCAGTGTAATGAACAACACTTTCCACAAGTCCGTTAAAGCGATGTGCCCATGGTAACTGTGAGCACATCTGTTTGTAGGTGAATCCAAGTATTTGCAGGACACTGGAAGATGCAAACAAGCAGTTTGATGCTGCTCTCTATTTTTACGCATGCAAACTGATGGGGCCCACAGTGAGTGTGAAGGCTTGTTGAACCAGCCCTATGTGTCTCTGTGGATAGTACTGAGCATAGCTACTGCCTAGATATTACAAGAAGCACCTGTGAGATGCAAACAGTTCTGGTGACATTGTAAATGTTGTCCCCTGATATAGACAAGGTGGGTGAGGTAATATGTTCTATTGGACCAGCTTCTGTTGGTGAGAGAGACAAGCTTTCAAGCTTCACAGAGCTCTTCTTCAGGTCTAGAAAAGGTAACTAGTGCATCACAAATAAATACAAGGTGATACTGATGGTTAAGCATAAGGGTTTAACATGTGGCACCATTTTAAATGAAGTGGGCAGGTAACACCTCTGCAGTCATAGGACAAAGGAGGGTTAGTAGGCTACAGATTGTTGCAATAAGCCATAAATCCAGTGTCTCTGGTTTTTGGTGTCTAACAGAGTTATGTATTTAAGGTCCCAGGCTTGTCTTTTGAGTGTTTTGTGCAGGTTGCCTTTGAGGAAGAGGACTGAGAGATCAGATATGGAGTGATCGCTTAGTGAAAAGTGTTCCCCCACTGGTGACAGGGTGTTTTTGTCTCATCATTTTTCTGTATGAGTTCATTGAAGGGTGTAGTGATTATCTGTTTTTACCCACATGGTGGTTGTTGGGGAATTTGATGCACTGGCTGAGATACACCATATGTTGTGATAGGCATGTGTAGGACCCCTGGATTGAAAAGTGTATGGAGCGGGGAGGGGATTGATCATCGTAGCATTGGAGATATGTCTGCAGGTTTTGCAACTGTTCTGGCAGGATCTGGTGCTGCTTTGAATTGGTGTGTCCTGGTCCATGGGGACTTTGCTTCCGATGATGAGATTAGCACGTTTTGGGGGTTGTTTTGAATCCAGCAGAAGGGGTTTAGGGAAAAAATTCTTTCAAGATGTCGTCCTTATAAAATAAGGGCTGTAATTGTTTGACACCCGTGGGTTGATTGGATTAGCCACTCCATTATCTTGCCGAGGATCAATCTCAGACTGACAGACCTATAATTACCCAGATCATCCTGTTTAACCTTTTTAAATATTGGCACAACATTAGCTTTCTTCCAGTCTCCTGGAACTTCCCCAGTGTTCCAAGACGGATTGAAAATCGACATTAATTGTTCAGTGAGTTCCTCAGCCAGCTCTTTTTGTACTTTTGGATGCGAGTTATTTGGACCTGCTGAGTTATAAATGTTTAAATTTAGAAGCTGCTGTTTAACATCGTCCCGAGATACTAGTGGCATGGAAAGGGTGTTATCATCATTGTATGATATGAGTGTGACACTCTGTACCTCAAAGCAGCACCCTGGAAGCCCCATATTCATCACTGTCATGCGGTTGATATGTTTTGTACAAAGCCTGCCTTGTGAGGTATCATTTTAAATGTCTTCATCTTTTGCTCCTTTATATCCTGTTGAATCGCATGTGCTATCGTTGTATGTGAAGTTATGAAGTATTGCTGGATGTGTTACTGAAATATGTTGTAAGGTTGGGAGACGCCCACAGCCAGCCTTTCAGTGGCAACAAAGGACCAGCCAGACATGTGCTGATGGCCCATTAAAGGGAATCCACTCTCCAAGAGACTTCTCAGAGAGAGCACGTGCGCAGTGGGGAACTGCCTGACCAATGGGGGCTGCCTGACCCCATGGCTCAGCAAGGATCTTTCTAGCTGCTGGAAGAAACTATACAAGAGGGATAGTGACATCACCACTTGGCTGGTCTCTCTCCCCCCTCCTCATCTCAACACCTGTAAGATTGTCTGAAAGACAAAGACTTTGACCTGGGGAGATTGGTCCCAGGCTGGAAGGGAGTCTAGTCTGCATATTGAGGAACTGTAAGCTACATGTAACATCTGTTGGGGTGAGAGACGGCTTGAATCAAATCTTACTTAGACAGTTAAAGTTAGAATTTAGACTGCGTTTCTATTTTTATTTCTAAGGTAACCAACTTTGATCTCTCTGCCTGCTACTTATAATCACTTAAAATCTATCTTTCTGTAGTTAATAAATGTGTTTTATATTTTACCTAAAACCATATGTTTTTGGTTGAAGTGCTTAGGGAATCTCAGCTGAGATTAACAAGAGCTGTTACACGTCCACTACCATTTTGTCAGAGTGGCGAACTAATTAAAGAAATTGCACTGGCCAAAGAAGCTTTGAGCAGTATAAGACGATACATTTCTGAGGTACAAGGCTGTGGGCTGGGGTGATGTACTGGTGCTTCTCTCTGTGTGTTCATGAGTGGCTTGGAGAGCCTTCATGCAATTTAGCTGGGTATGGGTCTTTACGTCCTGATAGCTGAGTGATCACAGTGCCTGGAGGAGTTGGCTGCTGGTCACTGGCATAGCATTGTGTGAGATAGCCCAGTCTGAAGGGTTAAGGGAGCACAGTGGTCACATAGTTCCAGGTTGTACCCTGGGGATCCCGTCACAATGAGTAGATCATGAGTTTCCCCCCAAATACAGAACAGAATTATAAGAATATGAGAATGGCCATACTGGGTCAGACCAAAGGTCCATCTAGCCCAGTATCCTGTCTTCCAACAGTGGCCAATGCCAGGTGCCCCAGAGGGAATGAACAGAACAGGTAATCATCAAGTGATCCATCCCCTGTCACCCATTCCCAGCCTCTGGCTAATCCTGGCTAATAGCCATTGATGGACCTATCCTCCATGAATGTATCTAGTTCTTTTTTGAACCCTCTTATAGTCTTGGCCTTCACAGCATCCTCTGGCAACGAGTTCCACAGGTTGACTGTGTGTTGTGTGAAAAAAAATACTTCCTTTTGTTTGTTTTTAAACCTGCTGCCTATTAATTTCATTTGGTGATCCCTAGTTCTTGTGTTATGAGAAGGAGTAAATA